TTTTCTTCTGGAGGCCTCGATGGTCGTAATGACTCTGGCTGAAAACTGGGCCGCCCTCAACTGTCCCCTCTCAAGTGCCAAACGGTCAACTGGAGCCACTGAGACACAGGTTCCCCTGGCGTAGAGCCACCTCCCCCCGGGGAATCCTCCAGTGGGGGGACATGGACAGATCTATCAGGTCCACAAACCAAGGCCAATAAGGGACCACTAGAATGACCTCCGCCTCCTCCGCTACCAACTTCTTGAGGACCCCAGGAATGAGGGGAAGAGGGGGAAAGGCATACACAAGGCTAATGGCACCGCAGGGTGTCCACGTCCTCGGCACCATGAGCTGGGTACCAGGGAGATGAACCTCTGGACCTGTGCATTGGCTGGCATGGCGAACAGATCCATAACTGGCCTGCCAAACCTCTGGCAAATCCTGTCGAAGACCTCGGGAAGCAGTTGCCATTCTCCGTGGTCCTCTGTCGCTTGGCTGAGCCAGTCGGCTAGCAGGTTGTCAACTCCCCGAGATGTGCTCTGCCCTCAGCGACAGGAGATGACGTTCCGCCAAATTCCCCAACTTCGCAGCCTTGTTCTGAAGGGCCTTAGAGTGGGTGCTCCCCTGCTTGTTCATGTGCACTTTCGCAGCAATGTTGTTTGTCAGCACCAGCAGGTGCTTTCCCTCGACCTTCTCCTTGAAATGATGGAGGGCTAGGTGGATCGCCCTGAGCTCCAGCCAGTTGATGTTTTGATGCAAGTCGGAGGCCAACCAATGTCCCTGGGCCAGCTGGGAGTTGAGATGCACCCCTCAACCAAAGAGACTCGCGTTGGTCATCAACACCAACCTGTCTGGCTCTCTGAATAGAGCCCCTTTGTCCATGGCGGGAGATGTCCACCAGCGCAGACAGCTGGACTTGGGGAGGAATGGGAATCTGGAACATCGTGTCACTGGCACCGTCCCTCTGGTATTGAAGCAGCAGCCATTGCAGTTCTCTGGAGTGAAGTCAAGCCCAAGGGACAATTGCTATGCAGGAGATGCACTTCCCCAGCAGATGCGAGAGCAACACTATGGGGACAGAGTGTTCCTACAAATCTGCTGGATCAGTTGGCAGATATTGTCCCAACGATCTTGTGAGAGGTACACCCTACTCTCCACCGTGTCAATGACCGCCCCAGGTGTTGCAAGCGTGTAGAGAGCTCTAAATGGCTCTTCTCGAAATTTATGGAGAAGCCCATGGACTGCAAGGTCCTAATGGTGAACTGAAGGTTCTTCTTCGCAGTCCCAGGACTGCACCCCTGAACTAGGACATCATCTAAATAAAATTGAATTTGAATCGGGACAGACCTGAGGTAACCCGTGACCACCGCCAACACCTTAGTGAAGGTCCTGGGGGCTGAAGCCAGACCAAAGGGAAGGGCCCTGTACTGAAAATGGACCCCCCATATGAAAATCTAAGGAACCTCCTATGGTCCGCTGCAATCAGGATATGGCGATAGGCCTCCATAAGATCGATGGAGGCCAGGACATCCCCAACCCTGATCCCTTCGAGGATAGATTTCAAGAAAGCCATTTTAAACTTCTGGTAAACCAGCCTGGAGTTAAGCAACTTTAGATCTAGGATGGCTTTCCAGCCCCCTGAACTCTTGGGAACTACAAAAAGGTTGGAATAGAAACCAGAACCTCTCTGGTCCTCCGTAACCAGTTCCACGGCCTGAATGTTCAGCAGGTGCTGGATGGCCTTGCGCATAAACTCGCACTTCACCGGGTTCCGAGAGGAGGAGAAGATCCGGAAACAAGAAGGGAGGTGAGAACAAAACTCCAAATGCAACCCACAATGAACAGTGTGGAGGACCCATTCATCAGAGGTGATGAGGTCCCAGCGGTCCACAAAGTGAGCGAGGCGACTGCCAATAGGAAGATCTGAGCCCGGATCATTTATTCTTGCGGAAGGAATGGCCGCCCCCCACCTCGAAAGGGCTGCTTGTTGGCCTGTTGGTATCTATTCCTATCTCTATAATATTGCCTATCCCCTTGGCCAGTGTAAGTAGGGGGAGGGTACCCCTGTTGCTGCTGGTAGTCCTGCTCTGGAGGCTGATATGCAGGCCTCCTCTGGTAGGGCATCGACCTTTACTCTGCCCGCTTGGAAAAAGGAAGGATCTTATGTTTGTTGTCCTCTACCAGGAATGGGTCCAGGGATGCTCCAAATAGCTTGTCGCCAGAATACTCTGCTGCCGCTAAGGTCCACTTGGACCGGGCCTCCCCCTGCCAACTATGGCGTCAAAGCAGACTTCTGGACGCCACTGACATGGCGAGCGCTTTGGACGCGTACTTGACTGCATCAAGTGTGGCATCTGCTGAGAACTGGGCAGCCGCAGTGAGCTTTGCGATGCCCTGCAAGAGATGTACCTCCATAGTCGGAACCTTCTCTTGCATCTGGGTCAGCCAGAGAAGGGTAGACCTATTGAAGAAGGATTGATTGCCCACGTGGCCACCTGGAAGTTCTTGCACAGAGTCAGTTCAGCTCTCCTACCTTAAGGTTGTTGGCGATGTTGCCAGCCACCAGAGAGGAGGATGGCAAAGCCGGCAGGGATCCAAGATGGTGGCCGCCGCCCATGCAGCCTGATTCCTCCAGGAGCTGTGCCTCAACAGCGCCACCCAGAAGCCTGGAGGAGCTCCAGCAGCCCCCGATGGGGTGGAAATGCAGTTCCTCTTCTGATCTTCTGGAGGCCAGCTTCAGAGGCTCCCCAGAGACTGCAAGCAGACTTGGAGCCTGAGGTGCTCCTGCAAAACCCAGCTATTGCCCAGTGCAGCCACAATCACTCAGGGAAGACAAGGGAGGAGGTGGGGAAGGCAAGGATGGAAAATTCTCACATCAAATTGAATAAAGTTAGGAGCCAAGACAAAAATCTCCTATTAGGCCGAAAGACTGAGATTAAACTGGGAGCCAGGAAGTGAGGCAGAGAGGAGTGGCCTCAATTTAACCTCAGTCTCAAGGCAAATAGGGTCTGAGAATATCCCATCAATGACTCCTCCCACGGGATCACCTAGGAGACCAACCAGAATATTAATTCCACAAATGACACGAGATATAAAACTGCATTGCTACTGGAAAGATATAGGTTGATGTAGTGAAAGTTTATAATAAAAATTAAGTCAAACTTAGTTAAATTTAGAATATTGTATATAGTCATATAAATGAGTAATAATGATAGTAATACATATATAGGTACTAGTTTGAGGATATGAAATTTTATACAAACTGCAAATGAGGACTATGAGAGGAGACTTAAAAGTATGTTATTAAATATAATGAATTTTTGTTTAGAATATGTTNATAAATGAGATAGAACAGGTCCATGAAAGACCATAGATTTTACAGCAACAGCTGATGCAAGGATGTGAGGAGAGCGCCCTCTAGTGCCCACAGAAGGAAGAGCAAGGACTTTCAAACGGTCAAGCAATCTGCTCTCATGGGCAGGCACAGATAGTCCTCGACTTACGACCACAATTGAGCCCAACATTTCTGTTGCTAAGCAAGACGGTTAGTAAATAAGTTTTGCCCCATTTTACAACCTTTCTTGCTCCAGTCGTTAAGCGAATCACTGCAGTTGTTAAAAGATAGGAACACTGTCGTTAAGTGAATCTGGCTTCCCCATTGACTTTGCTTGTCAGAAGGTCACAAAATGGGATCACATGCCTACAGGGCATTGCAACCGTCATAAATACATGCCAGTTGCCAAGCATCTGAATTTTTATCAGGTGACCATGGGGATGCTGCAACGGTCGTTAAGTGTGAAAAATGGTCAGAAGTCACTTATTTCAGTGTTGATGTAACTTCAACTGGCCACTAAGCTGAGGACTACCTGTATCGGATCTATGACAACTCGCTGCGGGACAAGAGTTACACCAATATCGAAGAAATGGTGGGATAGCATCATTAAAGAAAGGATGCCGAAGAAGGGAGAAAATGAAATGGGAAAATTAAAATAATGTTTAATCATTTTAAATCATTAAGTTGAATTGTTGAATTGAGTTGTTCCCGTGGTGGATTGGCCATGGTGAGTTGTCCTGCAGCAAGTTGGTTATGGTTGAGTTGGCCATGCCAAGTTGGGAGGGGCGCATTGTCCCATTCTGACCTGTATCCCCCATAAACAATATATCATGTCTACCGTTCCTAAAATGGGATGGGATGGCTCAGTGGTTAAGATGCTGAGCGTGTCAATCAGAAAGGTCGGCAGTTTTTCGTCCACCTCTTATAAATGCTAAAACAATAGAGCTTTTGGCTTGATTTCTCCTTGCTCCTTTTGAAACTCTTCTCTTGGGTCCTTGGATGGGAGATTCCCATGGCTGTAGTCTTGATCGGGAATTTGCAAAAATAGCTCCCCAAAGAAATAGCAATGTGAACAAAACTCCCACATAGATATACCCATGCAGTTGGACTAAGTCAAAGTCAATACTAGAAAAAACCCTTATTCTTAATAAGCAATACTTTACCTTAACTACCATGTTTTCACAAAAATAAGACTTATTAATAAGACAGCGCTTGGCCTTATTTTTAGGGAGGTCTTATTATTTTTGAGGTGCAGGAGGCCCCTTAACCTCGGCCTGCGGATCAGCTGATCCAGAGAGGGCCAGAGGTTCTGTCTCTGGCACACTCTTGCCAGCCCTAGCGTCGCTGAGCATGCCGCTGTTTTTGTGCCACCACTAAGAGAAGGGGCACGGTAGCCAGGGTTTGTGATAGCAGCCTCTGTGAAACCATTCCACATGGATGGCAGATGCATGTGGGGCATGTTCTCCCCCAGGAAATGGCGGGGACTGGCTGCACATGGATTTAACTATTTTAGGGGAGGGCTTATTTTAGTGCATGCACTCAAAAGCTCAATTGGGCTTATTATCCGGGGAGGTTTTATTTTTGGGGAAACAGGGTAGGTTCGTGTCAAGAACGACCTGTCCTAATGGGCAGCTGGAGTTTCTTTCATTCTGGCAAAGGTTTGTGCTTGATTAGGCATGTTTCTTATTACATGTGATATACAATGAACATGAATGCTCAGCTTAATCCAGTTGGCTTCAAGTGCAGCTTACCAGAAGGAATTGTTAGGAAGAAGCCTACACACAGGAATGCAAAGGCGAGTCATAATCGTTGTTTTTTTTTAAACTGAGGATTGGTGAGGAGAAGGGAAAGATAAAGTCTATGACTCCATACTTCGCACTTACTTGATCTGCTTGGCATTTTTGTAGCGAACGAAGATGACTATTGGGTAGATGTGAATGCTGTGCAGCCGCTCAATGGCATGAGGCGCGATGTCCAAGAGACAGTGGCAATCCTAAGAAAAGAATAAGACAGGCTTCGGGTTGGTTATGCAAGACGCTGCGATGATGTTCGTTTAGCAGCCTTAACGGAGAATTCTGCAAGGCTGATCTGCATAATTAAACCCATATGGTAGCAGAGGGTTGACTCAACAGGAGCTTGCCTGCTGTTCTACAGTAAATCCAAAACCAACCTACCTATTACTCCNAAAAAGGTTCTATGTGTTATTTGTCTGTCTTTGTCTGACCAAAACAGAAAAATATTCTTAAAAAGAGGAAAAGCAATGAGGCTCTCACTGGGATTACAAGTTCCAAGAAGTGAAGAGCAGAGAATACCTGCTTTATTTTCTTTGTTAGTGTGTTCAGACTCTCCATGGGAATGCACCTACAGAGGCAAAACCTTCCAAAATGATGGTGTGTGTGTGTGTGTGTGTGTATTCCTCTTAACATCTTCTTAAGATGTTAACATCTTCTTAATCTCCTACAAGTGCCGAGCCTTGTTTCCCAGTCCTGCCCAGGACGCCTCATTAAAAAACAAACCAACCCAGAAACGGTACCAGATTTTAGGATTCTCCAGCAAAGATCAAATAACATTTCTGAAAAACAATTATAGGCAAGCAGTCCTGCTTGATTTGCAGGTTCTCAGCAGTAGCACACAAGATCGGATAAAAACAAAAATGTAGACCAACAACCGAGTCATTTCCATCAAACTTACCCATTTGTAATAAAGAGAAAAAGAATTGCAGCCCAAATGTAGGAGAAAGAAAGACAGAACCTGAGTATGGAGTCAAAAAAGTAATCAGCCTGGAGTTATTGTGGTCCCATAAGCGATCCAAGCCCAACCTCTCTTGAATTCTGTTGACTCTTTATCTAGCGTCGAATTAGTGCTGACCATTAGTTGACTGGATTCTTGTGTATAAACATGAGTAATAAATCAGCTTAGCTTGGAGCTTAAGCTGTATGATCCCGATTTTTCATGTCCTACATTAGCTTATCTAGTCCTTTTTTAAAATTCAGTTTTGTTGTTCTAAGACGCCTCAAAATTTGGGAAAGTATTTTCCCTACCTGAGCTTATGAAGGAAAATGCACCTTTGTTTTCAAATGGTTCCTCCTAATCTAAAACTGATTTCAGAACTTTCTATTTTGTTTCCTGTGAAACAAATGGGTTTTCTGCTTATTGCTGATAGTGTGTTTTGGCTGAGAAGCTTATTTGTCATCTGTTATTGTGTCACTTTATTCGGAGATATGTGGCTACATAAATCATAAGCTGCCCAAAGTTGCTGGGACAGCAAGATGAAAGGCACATAAATTTAATAAATAAATTGAAATAAAATAAAAAATAGATTCAACTGTAAGCAAGCAACAAATGTCCGTACCCTTCAAATTATAGAAATTGACCTTTATTTAACACAATACTTAAGTTTCTTTCATTTTTTGTTTTGATATAAAGTGACATTTTTAGTACAGAAAAAATTACTGTTGGAACAGTATTGGTTTCTTTCATCGTACCATAGTCCGTCTCAAGCCTCTCTCCTTTTAAAAAAAGAAAATAGAAATGCTGCCCCTCAACCTATAAACAATATTTCCATTCTGCGTGCATTATATAACCTTTCTACATTTTTCTCCTTTCTCTCTGGTATTCAGAACTACAAAACAGTATCTGTAAATCAGAAGGTATAATTTCCAACCAAGTGCTGCTTTTGAGTCATTGTGCAAGACGAATCCCTTTTTTTAAATTTATGCAAATAAAAAAAGGAAAAAAACCCCTCAAAACTGGAAGGCAAGCCCACAGAACAAAATAATAATAATAATCCCCCCCCCCCTCTCTATCTAATGAAATGTTAGGAACAGTTGCCGCAAACGCGGCTCTAAAGAAAACTTTTAGCAAGGTACAGTACCTAAAAAACATGACATGCAATTATTTCAGGAAGGAAAAATATAATAAAATGATGGTTGGGGAGGGAAAAAAAAGAAAGTCCTAATTTTTTTAAAAAAAAGAGAGAAAGGGAAAAGGAATATACAGTAGCGATCGATACAGGCAGGAAATACGAATTCTAACGAATTTAAAAAACAAACAAAACCATACACGTGTTTGTCTGTTTGTTTCCAACAGTGGTAAAACTAAGAGTCACAGACCGAACTTGAAGCTTTCGGGTCCCCTAAAACTGAACTGTGTTTCTAATTAAATAAAAAATCCCTATGGCTATTTTACTCCAAGGACCAAGTTTCACCAACGTCAGCATCCTGTCTCGTTGTGTAAACTATCTACACCTGGTAACATAAACAGTCTAGGCCTAAATTAAAACCCCTTTTTGATTTACGGTTTTGAATGGCGAGGTCCAAACTCAATTCTTAAAAGAGACAAGGAGCACACTGGGTACATTGTGATATTTAAATAGCAAAATCCATGCATAAAATAAAAGCGGTAACTTTGGACAAAGAACACGGGACGTACACACACATACACACACAGAGACATACACACACACACAGTGGCCTGACCCATGGAGGAATGTTTTTCCCCCTGTCAAGTACCTGTGGGGAAGCCCATTCCTCAAAATCCATGCACGTCAGTCATCCTGACACAAAATGGCTGCTCTTGGAAGGAGCCACACGTCAAGAAGAGAGTCTTTCTCACACCGTTGTCATGGGGGTGCCTGGGTGGGTGGGTGGGTTGGAGGGAAGGAGGGCAGCGGAGGAGAACCTCAAAAAAAATTCTTTTGTTAAAAAAAAGATTCAAGTAAACACAAACCCAAAATCTTGGGGGAGCAGGGCAAAAGGGTTTTGTAAACATAATCTAAAGGATTTCTTTCTGTTTTTTTCTCGCAGAGTCACAAAGTCTTCGGGTTTTATTTTTTTTTTCTGAAAAAAGGACTCTTGGATTTGCTTGTCCATGCCGAGACAAAAAATGAGATGGATTCGGCTGTCAGTGACGCGTCGCTGTTTTCCAAACACACTTTGCAGACGACGTTGCTTGTGATGCTTTCGAACCTACCACATAGGTAACTACAACAAATGGACCCTCCCTCCGTCAGCTGCTTAGGTACAATCTGTTGCAAGTGAACAGTATTTTTTTCATGGCACCGATCTAGGGGGGCCCAGCAGGGATCCACAGGACTTTGTTCTGCTCTTGATCCACCGTGGTCATGATTTGAGTGCAAATGACGGAAAGGGGTCCTCCTTGGACAATGCCTGATAAAGGAAGAAGACAAACCGTCCGTCTTTATTTGCCAACTAAGAGAACCGCACAAATGAAGCACAGCTAGGCCTTGACTTATGATGGAGCAAGATGTTCCCACATGCCTACGGGGTTACTTCCAAGCATTTTGCATTGGATTTCCACCATAAGCACCTGTCTCTCAATCTCTCTCTCAATCTTTCTCCCTTCTCAATCCCTCTCCCTCTCAGTCTCAATCTCTCTCACTCCCTTCTCGATCTCTCTTTCTCAATCTCTCTCTTCCTCACAATCTCTCTCTCTTAATCTCAATCTCTCTTACTCCCTTCTCGATCTCTCTCTCTCTCTCCCTCTCTCAATCTCTCTCCCTCTCAGTCTCGCACTCAATCTCTTCCCCCTCTCTCAATCTCTCTTTCAGTCTCTCTCTCTCTCTCTCTCTCTCTCTCTTAAGTTTCATGTCCCAAACTAGGTAACATCATCAGTGCTAGTCAGAGTTAGACATCAGTGAGACAACTGGAGCCTGTTCCCAATGTGCACATGCACAGAGTTGCCAGACAAAGGGAACAGCTAAAGAACAGGGGTTGACTTGGGAGTAAGGCAACAGGTGGATGATGAATGGCCCCTCCCAGAAGATATAAAAGAGGAGTGAAAGGAGTGGAGTTTGCAAGAGACAATTAGTTCACTTAATTGGTTCGTGACTCTCCGAGACTCCTTGCCAAGTTTTACAGAGATCGGCATGGCAGCTCTCCAAGCCAGAT